TTTCTGGTGTGATTATTTTTCAGTTGCTGTTTGCCACCTCCTCTGGACATGACTCCATGAAGACAAGGGCTGGGTCAGCTTTTTCCTGTCACTGTGTCCCTGGCATTAGCACTCACTAAGCTTGGTGGAGGAAAGAATGATGAATGAGGTCAGAGGGAGGGATCCTGGCATTTTCAGACCAGATATGCAGAGTGATGGTGCTTGTCACACTTGTCACAGGTATTAGCAATTCGTTCATTGATTCCACAGATATCCCCTTTGGAGGAGAGAGAGATGAATTACCTCCCACCTTTTCCCGAAGGTAGCTCATAGCACAGCGTGGACGTGAAGGCCCCAGGGGACGTGGCTCCTAAGATAGGAAAGTGGCCAGGGTCCTAAGAACATGAGCTGGAGGACCCGCTGGGGCATGAAGGAAGGCTTCCTGGAGGAGGAGGCATGTGTGCTCTCTGGCTGTGTCTGTCTGGAAAATGATGCCTGTGTCCATGGGGAATGGTTTCCATTCCATATGGGTACAGCGGATCACCTGTGGCTGAACAGGCCAGTCACCGCATTGCCTTCAAACACCCACAAATGCAAGCTCCTATCTCAGCTGGCCCCTAGTTTCTGCCAAAAGCGGAGCCTTGGGAGCAGAGTTTAGAAAGCAGGGCCTGTCCTTAAGGAACAAGTGATTTGGGCCCTGGGACTGAGAAATGTGGCGGGCACGTGTCTCTCCAGCCCTTCTCATAGCTCCTCAGATCCTCCCTCTGGCCTCGGGGGTTGTCTGGCTGGATCCCTCCTAGCCTCTCCATATTCTCCTGGGGCCTCTTCCCTCTCTCCCTTTGTTCCTTTCATCCCCTTCTCTCAGGGTCTTTGTACGTAGGTGTCCCCTCTGTCTGGCACCCTCTCTGCCCCGTCTCCCTGCTCACTCCTCACTTTCCTGGCAGTTTCTCTTGGAGACTTCCCTGACTCCTGACTCCTCCCACACCAGTCTGCTCCCCTCCCCATTCTACATGGTCACAGGGGTATATTTTTATGCTCTCTTTTCTCCTTAGCATCAGTCACAGTTTGTAATCCTATGTTCATTCGTGTGATCCCTTAAGTGGGCTGCCCTCTCTAGAGAGAAAGGCTTGTCTTGGTCAGCACTATATCCCTGGTTTTTGTCTATTTTTAAAATGTATTTACTTAAAAAAATATTGCCTGGTACAGAGTAAATATTTTATCAAAATTTGTTAAACCAGTGAATAACTGATTACGTGTTTTGGAGTGTCCGAAGACTTCTTAAGGAAATGACAGACACTGTTGTCTTTATTTCCCTGCTGTTGGGACGAGGGCAATCTCGGGTCAGGGTGAATGCCCGGGAGGCGGGCTCTGCCCAACTCGCAGCCCGCCGAGGGCAGTCCACCTGCCTTGGCCTCCCAGGTGCTGGAATTACAGGCATGAGCCACTGCGCCTGGCAGCCTGGATATCCTTACAGGCTCAGCTGACAGGAACTGTGGCTGACTCTCAAAGAACCAGAGCAGGACGCAGCCATTCCACTTCCAGGAGATTCTGTAGAGAGGGACGCGGGTCCAGCGAGGCTGCCTATGCTCAGAGTCTGTGTGGTATCCTCAGGGAGAGGGTCTCCCAACGCCCCTGTGTGTGCCCTTGAGGGCCTGTGTGCCCAGAGCCTTTATGCTGTGCTGGGCTCTACTGGGTAACCAGACAGTGACCTTGCCCACAGGGGCCCTCAGTCAAGCCGCCCTCTCTGAGCTTTGGGCTCTGAGCTGTGGAAAGAGCCTGGCCCATGAGTCGCATGGGAGAGGGATCAAGCCTGAGGAGGTCTCTGGTAGGATGGCCTGGCTGGCAGGGAGAAGTCCCCTAGAGGGGCAGAGTTGAGGGGGTCTGATGGAGAATTCTGGGTGGGTGGGAGGAGCTGGGCACTGCCTGGCTGGGGACAGAGTGAGGCCTCGGCGGGAGTCCATAGGAGGTGACTGACAGGAAGGAGGTGTCACTGAGTTTCGGGCCTGGCTGGCGGGGTCAGGGCTGGGAAGTATAACTGAAGCCGGTGGAGGGAGAAGTCCTTTGAAAGTGGATGTGCCCCTTCTGATGGGGAGGAACTTGGCGGTGGACTGGGGACCAAGGCCAGCATCATGCTTTAGCAGGAGTGGCTGGGACCAGGAGGACTGGCAGAGCAACAGCTGAGTAGGGAAAAACTGATCCGTCTTTCCTGGTGTACGTGTGTGTGCGTGTGCGTGCGTGTGTGTGTGTGTGTAGGCATAGAACATTTGAGAAAAGGCCATTTGGTGGGTGCTGACCAATGGAAGAACACTGCTGGGCAGACAGACTGGACAGTGAGCTCCCATACCTGCTAGGCCTGGTGACCTTGTGGGAATGGTCCCCATGGGGATGGGCCATGATGGGAGAAGGTTCTCTAGGATAATGTCCTGTCGGCAGGACCAGGCACCTGTCTTGTGGAAGGCCAGGGTCACAGACTGCCAGAGGAGGAGCACGTTGGGGAATGTTCAGGCTGGGGAATGTTGGTCAAATAGACCAACTTCTGCCTTGGCCCACATGTAGGGGATTTTGATCACTCAGGCTGTGGCCCAGCCTACAGTATCCTCTTGGGTCAAAATTGGTGGGGGATCCATTTTCTCAGAGGGCTCATGAGCTGCCTCTGAAGGCCTGTCCTGTAGAGTATGCTGGGTCCTCTGAGCCTGTTGGCTTCCACCCAGGATCTGAAAGTCAACACTCAAAGCTGCTATCTTTATTCAAATGTCAGCCACTGTGCTGCTGTTGTCCTCAGATAAGTACAGTTGAGGAAGCAGTGACTTTTGGCTGAGTCTTGGTGACGCCACATCCTTAGTCTGGCCTCGTTCCTCACATGAATGGGTGCTTGACATGACAGATGAAGTCTAGTCCAGGGCAGCCGTGTGCTGTGGGGGCAGGGGTCAGACAAGGCCTTAGTAAGGGCGACTTTTAGCATGAGAGCAGATCCATGCTGGTTTCCCCAGGGCTTTCCAACTGCAAAGGCAGACGCCCCACCTCTGGGCCTGGGTTTCAAGAGTGCCTCTGGTCAGCCTTGTGAGAGCAGTGTGGTCCCAGAGAGCCCTGGCCAATGATGTGCCCCCAGAGGCCATTTTCTTGCTAGAAACCGTTTGCCCTCCATACTTGATTTTTTTTTTTTGAACAGTTCAAGCTTGAGACTCACAGAAGATAGTTCATCCGTTTGTTTCTTTATTGATAATTCATAATGTTTCCTTTGACATGTAAGCATCTTCACCAGAGACTGTTACAGTGTGAATAGTGAACAATACAGAACACAGAGGGAATTAATCTTACACTTACTTAATTTACATTTTGGAATAGGCAGTACATTTCAACTTTTGAAACCAAACCAAACCAAAGAAAAACATGCCGTGGAAAGTCTCTCCCTGCTCACCTCCACTCACTCACTTCCTTCCTCCCCGAATGAGTGACCAGGAAAAATTTTCCTCATTTACCTTTGGAGAGATACATACTGCACATAGTCTTATTTTCTTCTTCTTTTACACAAAAGGCTGTATATGATACATGCTGTGTTGTACCTTGTTTTTTACTTCTTACATAATAGTATATCTTGAAGATCTTTTCCTATCAGTTCACAGAAGGAATCTTATTCTTTTTTTTTTTTTTTTTGAGACGGAGTTTCGCTCTTGTTACCCAGGCTGGAGTGCAATGGCACGATCTCGGCTCACCGCAACCTCTGCCTCCTGGGTTCAGGCAATTCTTCTGCCTCAGCCTCCTGAGTAGCTGGGATTACAGGCACGTGCCACCATGCCCAGCTAATTTTTTGTATTTTTAGTAGAGACGGGGTTTCACCATGTTGACCAGGATGGTCTCGATCTCTTGACCTCGTGATCCACCCGCCTCGGCCTCCCAAAGTGCTGGGATTACAGGCGTGAGCCACCGTGCCCGGCCCAGGAATCTTATTCTTTTCTGCTGCTGCAGTTTTCTGTTATGCAAGTATGCCTGGCTTAGTTAACCAACCCCCCACAAATAAACTCTTGAGTTGTTTCCAGCCTTTTGCTACAAGAACCTTGAACCTACATCACTTCTCATATGTGTAAGTTGAGCTGTAAAATAAATTCCCGGAAGTACAATCGCTATATCAAAGGGAATGTGCATTTGTGGTTTTGATAGATTTGCTGACTTGTCCAGCACAGGTGTGTTACCACTCTGCCAGAATTGTATGAGAGTACTGTTTTCCTACAATCTTTCAGGGCCCTGGCACACACTGGGTATCAGGAAATAGTCTTATGAATGGCAAATGTCCAGGGTAAAAACATCAGCTCTGGGGAAATGGTACCTTCCAGGAGGGTCTTTAGGACAGGAGGGGCAGGAGCACCTGATGACTGAGCCTGTGGGTCAGCCCAAGCTCGAATCCTCAGGCAAATTGATAAATCTCTCTAGGTCTCAATCTTCTCATCTGCAAAGTGGGGAAAATTACCTACATTGAGGGTCATTATAAGGATTAGATGAGACGATGCATGTCGAAATGGCTTTGTTGGCCAGGTGCAGTGCCTCATGCCCGTAATTCCAGCACTTTGGGAGGCCAAGGCAGGTGGATCACCTGAGGTCAGGAGTTCAAGACTAACCTCCCCACATGGAGAAAACCTGTCTCTACTAAAAATACAAAATTAGCTGGGAGTGGTGGCGCATAATCCCAGCTACTTGGGAGGATGAGGCAGGAGAATCTCTTGAACCTGGGAGGCAGAGGTTGCCATGAGCCAAGATTGTGCCATTGCACTCCAGCCTGGGTTACGAGAGCAAAACTCCATCTCAAAAAAAAAAGGGGGGGGAGGGGCTTTGCACAGTCCTTGGCACATGGCTGCAGGAGCCTGGCTCTGCACTTACCAGCAGGTAAGTGAGCCCCTGCCCATGTCTCCTCTGGTCAGGGAGGGAGTTGGGGTCAGGTCCTCTTTGTAGTCTCAGGGTCTGACCTGTCTTTCTTTAGCAATGTGTATAACCTCCACTCACCCTTCCTTCTCTCATGCTCTTCAAAGGTATTCAGGAGTCTCCGGTGCCAAATGGCCACTCACTTCCAGGCAGAGATTTCCTACGGAAGCAGATGCGGGGAGACTTGTTCACACAGCAGCAGCTAGAGGTGCTGGACCGCGTGTTTGAGAGGCAGCACTACTCGGACATCTTCACCACCACGGAGCCCATCAAGCCCGAGCAGGTACGCCCTGCAATGCACGCCCGCCACACCTGCCACATCCATGCTGGCCACCGCCACACCGGCCCAGCCACTCTCCTGAAGGCAGAGGCATCTGGCAGGATGTGGGTGAGGGCGTAGCAGGTTCTGCTCAGAGAGGGCTCTTCAGTGTTCTTGGCCAAACTTGGGTAGTCACTACATCCCATGAGGTCGGGAGGGCTTGTCTGGGCTCCAATGGCTTCTTGCCCTGGTGTTTCTGTTGCTGGCCCACCAGCAGGTGGGTGACTTCTCTGGCTGCTCTGGTGTCCTTTCCAAGAGCTCTTTGGACAGAGGGGTGTAATGATCTTCCAGGCCACCTGAGGTGGTCTTGGGTCCTGGGGGCTGAACAATGGAATGAGGGAGCAGGTGGGCGTACCACCGTCTGCCCTCTTACCAGGTCACCCTCTCATGCTTTTAGCGACTGAATCCAAAAGTCTGGAGATGAAGAAATGTCTCATTGCACAAACTCCCACCTGGGTTATTTGCAGGCGAGGGGAGAGAGCAGGAGGGCCAGCCCTGGCTGACTGGCCGTGTGCTGTACCCTGGGCGGAGTGGCCACTCCCTGTGGCTACAGAGGTGGGATCATGAGACTTGGCCCAGTGACAGGCTCTTGAGGTCTAAGGCCCCTGAAGTAGCAGATTCAATTCATAAGACTATTTCCCGATACCCAGTGTGTACCCGGGCCTAGGCAGACAAACTTGCAGGCTAGACATGGCTCTGGACTGCCAAGAGCTGCCACCTGGCGGGCCAACCAGAGTGACCCTGCAGACAGTAACTTTCCCCAGCACGTTTCTCGCTGGTACCAATGGTGAGAACTGGCTGCATGAGCTTCCTCTAAATGCTAATTAGAGGTTGCTTCTGAATTTTCTCCAAAAAGTCATTCCAAATAGTGTAGGCTCCCTGCACAGCTCCCATGGAGATGCGACGTGCTGGAGAGAACCTTGGGTGGTGAGGAGAGAGCAGGGCCTCTGGGGCCACCCGTCTGTGACTGTCTGTGTCTGAGCAGTTTCTATGAGAGCTCTTACAGACCTTCTAGCCACTTTGTTTTCAGATGGTAAAATTGAGGTCCCAAGGCAAAGCGACTTGCCTAAGGCCACCCTGCAAGTCATGCATTCACTTAACAAATATGACGAGTGTCTACTTTATGCAAGGCATGGAGCCACGAACCGGGTCACATCAGTGAACAAGATGGGCTTGGACCTGCCCTCCGGGAGCCTACAGACTTGTGGAAGAACCCCAATAAAAGAGTTAGCTAGAGAGTCATGGATTACAGGTGTGCTTGGTGCTGAGGAGGAGGTGTCTGAGGTTCTCTGAGAGCCTAAAGGAAAGGCTGAGCTAGCCTGAAGCCCGCGGGGTCCTCCTGGGGGAAAGGTATTTACGCTGAGCCTGAGGGGGTTGGGCGTAGCAAGGAGAAGGGGTGTGGGGGTAGAAGGAAGGTGCCTGGCAGAGGGGACAGCAGGTGCAAAGGCCCTGAGTTGAGAGGGAGGTGGCAGAAATGAGGAACAGAGAGAGTTGGCGTGGCTGTGGCTCAGGGCTGGAGCGGATTGGGGAATGATGCTGGGGAGGTGGGCCTGGTCTTGTAGACTCGGGTGAGAATTTTAATCTTTCTCCTACAAGCCGAGTGATGCCACTGCTAGGTAGGACATGGTTATGGTGCTGGACACAGCCAATCCCACACACTCTAGGTCCTGGGCTTCAGGGAGGAGAGTCTGTTTCCATCACAAGCACCCTCTCCCCTCTGCTCAGAACCCTTCTGAGAGAGGGCAGAAGGCACATTTTCTCTGACACGGGAGGAAAGTGAGAGTGGACTTGATTGAGAAACCTTCCTGGCTGAGGCCTGTCTTTCCCTCCAGAATGTGGAACAAAGTTTATCTTCTAACTGCTGTCGTAAGAGATCCCATAATTTTAGGGCTGGCAGGAACCACAGAGGCAAGTTTCAACCCTCTTATTTTTTTAGAGACCCAGAGAGAGGACAGGGCATGTCTGAGGTCACCCAGCAAGTGAGTGGGGAGGACAGGGATCCAGGCCTCTGCACTCCACCTGGCCTCTGCAGCATAAGAGTTTCTATGAACCCCTTACCAACACAGACACTCAGTGTAAGACTCCCTCTGTGTTTCTCATGACTCTCATGGAGACAGAATCTGCACCGTAGCTCCTTTAGCTTTGAATGCCCAGGAAGACCATGCAGCCTGCAGGGCCTCATCCCCCAGCGTTGTGGAAGCTGCCCATGGACTCACTCGCTCACCCACTCACATGCCACTCACCCAACACCTTCCCTGAACGCGGGCTGGGAGCCAGGCACAGTGCCAGGTGCTCATCAGCTCTGCCCAGTTGCACAGGGGCAGCGTGCTGTGGACTCAGAGCACACAGGACAAGAGAGACCATTCAGAGTGTCCTGATGAGGTGTCTGCCAGTGAGGGGGACATTACCTGGGCTGGGAGCATCAAGGACAATGGCACAGAGTGGGCAGTGTTGGATGGGGGTCTTGAAGGACAGGCCCCATGGGGTCATGGAGAGATGAGGTCTGACGGGGAGGAGACCTGATTACAAACTCTGCGAGGACTCAGCATCTAGCAGTGTCCTTCAGAATGAGCGGGCACATCTGCAGGCCTATCTCTGACTGTGTGCGCGCTGAGATGGGGCCTGCAGGTGAACTGTGTGGCAGGATAATGACTGACCCAGTGTTTTCTGGTTAATCTGCTTCACCTCCCTGTAATGTGCCTTAATGAGGAGAGATGGAAGGTGAGGCGGCGGGGCTGCCCGGCACACACACAGCCACTGGACTATGAATGACATACCCTCATGCCCAATTCCCAGTCACTTTGGACAAATGATGCCCGAGCAAGGGGCCGCAGGCTGGGAAGGGATGTGCATCAAGGGTACAGCTTCCTTGAGCTCCTCATGCTAGCTCTCTGAGAGGTGAAGGTTCCACAGGCCTTGCCTGTGAGTCCCAGCATGGCATGGCGGTGGCAACAGGGAGGGGGCCTGTGGTGCTGGCCGTGGAGGCTGGCTGCCTCTTCCATTTTCAAACAGATCGTGCTGTCTGAGTTTGTGTCTCTGTGGTCTAGTGGCCTGGATGGGGGCCTTGCTGTCACTTTCGTTGAGTAGATTGATGGGGAAGAAAGAGCACTTACTGGCCTTGGGGTCGGGAAGCTTGATTTGAATCCTGGCACCACCCTGCTGAGCAAGTCACTTTTTTTCTGGACCTCAGTTTCCGTATCTGTGGTAGGAGTAATCATGATTTTGATGATGACAACAAGAACAGCAGCAGCAGCTGAAACTGAACGCGACAACAGCGATCCTCCTCACCTGTGCACCATAGCACTCGGTTTACAAAGACCACTCACATCCGTCTTCTCACTGGACCCCCAGTGTAGATGCCTGCCAACAGGCTGGGCATGATTCGTGAGTCCCATTTTGTAGATTGGAACATTTTTCTTCCCAGGTTGTTTACTCAGAGAGTTTCTGAAATATTGTTGAACCACAGAGCTGGAATCTGATCTCAAGGTCTTCTGTCTTCATCTTGTGCAAGATGGTTCCATGGGCCTCCAGATCTGGACAATTCCAGGGACCAGTTTTCTGGCTGGTTGGTTTCCAGATCTGGCCTTTTGCAGCCAGAGTCTGCCTGTCATTTCAGAACTCTCAGAAGCTTGCCATAGTCTTGGAGAGGCCACATCCTCCCAGATCCCCCACGTGTCCCCCATGGGAAGAACATTCCTCACTGGGGCCAGGCAGGGGTTCTGGCAGACACTGCTGTTAGATCAGAGCCTGCCCTACTCCGCAGCTTTTCCCACCAAGATCTACCTGGGTAGCCCACCGAGGCTTCTGGCTTTTATAGGGAAACTTAGTAAACCCTTTGCCCTGGGTGGAAGGGGTTAATGTTGACTACTCCTGGGGCGATGAAACACTTCCTTTTCAAAATGGTTATTGAAAAAGCAATTCTGTATTCCCTACGTGTGGAGTGAGTAAAAATCACCTGGAAGGAAGAGAAGGAAAAAAACTGCTGGTGACGAGTGTGTGGGTGCATGTATATGTGCGTGTGTGTGCCTTTGTGTGCATATGTGTGTGTGTATGTTTCCAACAGTGGAATCTGTTTCAGTAAAACTCCCGTTGATGCTGTCGTTAGAGCAGCGCTCCTGGTGGGAGCGGGTCCCTCCTACGGCCGCCATAGGAAGGCTGCGGAGCACAGCCTGCCGTATTTACTCTCGGCAGACTATTAACCAACACCAGGCTATTAATCTGGCTTTTGAGCCTTCACTAAAGCCCATAAAAGCTCACAGTTGTCAAATGGAGTTCATTTTAATTTCCTTTCAATCACAGTAAATTATTCAGGTGATAAATCAGCTGGAGCAGCCTCCTGGCTGTAATAGAAACCCTAATTCCTGGCTAATTATCCAGCCCATTGCTGCCAACAGATCAATACGGGTGCAAAATGGAACGGGCCAGGGCCCTCCCTCCCATTGGACCAGAGACAGAGAGACAGCTGGGGAAGGGGACATGCTGCTGACCTCCCAGGAAGTTCAAAGGTCACAGGGGGTTAAACTGGGAGAAGGTCTGCTCCTTGTCTAACAGAGAAAGCCACCAGAAATGCCTCCTGCTCTCATCAGCCACTTTGCCCTCTCAATGGTGGCACTTCTCCAGGCTGGTGGGCCAACCAGGATTGCCTTCTCCTGCGGGCATCCTGTTCCTGGGAAGGGGTTGGTATGTGCTTCTGACATGACTGAGCTCAGTTATCAGGAATGGCCTGAACCTCGACCATGAGGCAGAAAAAGGGCTGGGTACTCTGGGGAGAAAGAGAATGTGGTTTTTTTCTTCAGAGAGCTCATTTTCCTTCATTGTGGATCTGTGTCCCACCATGAGGAGGGGAGAAAGAGAGGAGGGGTGGGGAGACAGGTGTGTCAGGCTGAGAAAGGGGAAGGCTTCCTGGAGGAGGTGCCTTGAGGGAAGGGCAGAATGCCGACCTGTGGCGATAGCAGATGGCCAGC